GATAGATAGATAGATAGATAGATAGATAGATAGATAGATAGATAGATAGATAGATGATAGATAGATTTCAGCCTAAAGAGAAGGCATGATAGCAATCCTCCAGTACTATAAGCAGAGATGATATTCAGCCAGTTCTGACAGGTTCTGGAGAACCGGTAGTGGAGATTTTGAGTAGTTCGTAGAACCAGCATATAGGCTGGCCCCATCCCTGCTGCCTCCCAGCTGATCTTCTTTGTTGCCTTGAACAGGAAAACGGAGCTGGAAAGCAGGTTAGTGGAGTGGGGAGGAAATGGGGATTTTGCAGTATCCTTCTCCTGTCCCGCCCACAAATCCCTACCCACAAAGCCCCACAACTCCCACAAAGCCACACCCCACCCACAAAGCCACACCCACAGAACTGCTAGTAAAAATTTTTGAATCCCACCACTGACTTAAAGGGATGTTCTAGGGATTTATTCTCCATGGTGGCTGACGGTAGGAGAAGAACCAGGAGGTGGAAGCTTTATAGAGCGATCTAAATAAAAAGGAAAATCCTGACCTGAGAGCAATTAAGCAATGGAAGACCCTGCCTCCTGGAGTAGTGGTAGCTCCATCACAAATTGGAGCTATCCTGTTCTGGAGAAGTATTGGACTAAAACACTTGTGCAGAGTTGGACTCCACCTGGGCAAGTTAAGTGAGCTGCATAAGGCACAATCCTGTGAAGTTATCTGGACTGAGTTTGAATCTTCAAGTCCCTGTCTCTTAGCCTAGCCATCAATCTGTTATATCAGATCTATTGTTAAAATGGCCCAGGAGGGGAACAAAGGATTGGTCCCTGCTCTTTGAGAGAGGTATCTGCTCTTTGAGAGAGGAGGTGGCAGACACTTCTATGTAGGATAATTATTGCTTCTATTCCATTATATCTCTCCTGGACCTGTTTCAGTCAGCTTTCAAACTGGTACAGGTAGTCCTTATTTAGTGACTGCATTGCTGTGTGATCATTCATAGTTTCAATGGTGGTGTAATTGGTTTGTGACCAATCCTCATATTTACCACCTTTGCTGCTCTATAAAGGAAAGGAAAGCTGAAGTTAGAACATAAGCAGAGTTGCGGTTTCACTTAGTCTCCATGTCACTTAACTGAATTGCTGGTCCCAATTTTGGTCACATGATCCGTGGTGGCACAGTGGTTAGAGTGCAGTACTGCAGGCTACTTCTGCTGATTGCTGGCTATCTACAATTTGGCAGGTTGACTCAGCCTTCCATCCTTCCGAGGTGGGTAAAATGAAGATCCAAATTGTTGGGGGCAATATGCTGTAAAGCACTGTAAAATGGAATATAACTTGTAAGTAGTATTGCTATTGCTAAACAAGGACTACCTGTACATAATCTGGAGACAGTGCTGGTTAGAACTGGTTAGAACTTGTTGATAATCTTTGGTGGACTTGGATGGGAGTGGTGCATTCATTCTGATGTTCCATGATCTCTCAGTGGTTTGCAGTGCCATTGATTATTGTATCCTTTCAAAGTGCCTGTGGGGCATAGGAGTGTGAAACACTGTGTTGCGGTGGTTCCCTTCCTTCTGTCTATGGTTGATTTCAGTTGGTGTTTGCCGATGGGGGAAGAGATTACTTCTACAGTCCCTCATTGGTGGGGTGCCTCACGTCTCCTCTCCTGTTGAACATTTACATGAAACTGCTTAGTGAGGTCATCCTCTGGTTCAGGGTTCAGTATTATCAGTAAGATGGTTTCATTACACAGAAACTGAAAAGAAATAAATGAAACTATTTTAAATCCTCTTGAGAATTTCACAATTGTACAAGCAAGGAAATGCATATGAAATGTTTGATTCCTCCCCCTTCAAAGCCAGATATAGTAACATTTAAGCCAGGATCATTAAAGAAACAGTGATAATTTGATAGAAATTAACACTGCTTTTCTCCAGGCAGTCAATCATTAACTCATTGTCTCTTTGTCCCATGCAAATATGATACATGCTAGTCAAACATAAGTAGCTAAAAACTTAATTTGCCAAATGCCACTTGAGAAAGAGCCATAATAAAGAGTGTGGCTTGTTGTTAACTCAAATTAATCCTTCAAGGATAGTGCAGGAATAGAAGGTGACAGTCTCACTGTGCTCTTGTTTTTATCTTCATTGATTGGCCATTTACCAGATGCCAAGTGCTTGCTTAAGGTAATTGTAGAGCTAATAACCTTGGGTTAAGTAAAGCAAAAATAATCCTAGAAACTAGAGTGCAGAGACATCATGTTATGTTCTAGGGAGCAGGGAGTTCTGTGAATGGTATTTTATTGTTTGTTTTCTATCATGTTCGAGTAGAAATTGAGGGCAGCAGGTGTTTTGAGACAGACAGTTTCTAGCATTGCCAGTCAAACTGTGCATCTATTTAGCAGTTCCGTCTCAATGGATTTTGGATTACTGAAAAGAAAACAGCAACATGCAGAAGACAAGGGGAGAATTTTATCGCATAACTAAAGACACAGAAATCTAAGCACCTACCCAGCTTATTCAAATAATATCAAATCACATTTAACAAATACTGGTAGGTGCACAAACTAAGACCCTTGGATGCAACAAGAGGAAACTTTCAAATTTGTGCTATCTGAAATTTACAGTTTAACAGATGTGGAAGATAATTAAATAGCTGAGCTGTAATTATATCAATGACTTCAGTATACAGTAATTGCAGAGCAATATAGTGATGTAATCTCTATGATAAAAAGAAAAATTTCCAGTGCTTGTGCATTTACTTTCTATTTATATATAGAAGAGTCATTTTAAAAGATAAATCTATTTATCTCTGCCACTATTTTTTTTTAACAATCAGGATAGATAAGACTTGAATAGCTTTGGGTCTATAAAATATTTAGTTTTCTGCTCTCCTTGAAGGACATAGAGGCATGGCTGATGACAAGATGCCATCAGAGTAGGCAGGAATGAAATTTTGCTCAATCACATGCATGTTTGAAGGCTGCCAAGTAGTTGTGATGATGATGATGCAGTTAAGGGCTAATTCCGTGCTTTTAACAAAATGAAAAACACCAGGAACTCTGGAGGCCATAAATGAGGTGCAAATTGCAAGCAGACGCAAACTGCATTAAAAAAAAAGGTAGAACTGTACAAAGTTCTGCATTTTGCAATTCTGTAGCTTGACAGATTTAGCAACTGAACTGTCATTTCCCCATGTTAATTGACTTCCTCTCCACTCCCAATGTTTTTCCTCCCATAAAGGACATGCAAGCCTGCTGCACTCTCATTCAACCTGACACCTGCTTCATTTTAAAAGAGACGTCTATAAATAGAAAAGGGAATGCAAACCTCTGGGGCTTTGAATTCTAGAACATACATTTTGCAAGCCTGGGGATAGGATAGAAAGAAAAAAGAAGAGAAAGGCTCTATCATGCCTAAAAACCTGGCAGCACTGTTTAAAAAAAATCTTTGCTTTTCATTAAAATGCTCATTTCTTATTCTATTTTCAGATCCTCTCTGGGATTTTAGGAATGTTGAGACGTGCTAGTTACAAAGCCCTAAATGCAACATGGTCACGGATGGCTAGAACGAGGCATGTTCTAATGGAAACAAATCACTTGTCAGTAAGGAGCCTTCAAACCCTGAACAAAAGCTCCGAAAAAGGCATGTTTGTTGGCGTTAAAAAAATTGTCTGGAAGCAAGTCTGCAACACAAAAAAATTTCACAATTATTTAATGTCAAATAATGGCTGACTAGCTGACAGGAAGATGGTACCCATCAGATATTGCAAAAGATCAGATAGCTTGGGTATTTATGTCACTATTTTCAACCAGACAATCTAAGTTTCAGTTCTTTGTTGTGCACCCACCCCTCTCCTAGAAGAATGAAATATTCTAGGAAATATTAAAAAGGCAAAATATTATATTTCCCTGGATGAGAAAAGAAGAAACATGCTTTTAAAGACAAAGAGCAGCTCCCTGCCCCTAGCAGACATTTGGTGCCCATTGAGCAGAATTGGGCCAGCCTATCTACAAGACAATTAGACCTTCAGCTCCAGGGTGATGGGATTAAGACATGACCCTCAGGATGTAATAGGATTAGTCCAGTGGTAGGTTCTGGATCCCGTTCCAACCGGTACAGTTGGAACGGGCCCGGCGGCGTCCACATGGATGTGTCTTAGCACCTCTGCGATGCTCCAGCTGCTCAGTGGAGCATTGCTCAGGCACTGTACGTGCCGTGCATGTGTGCGGAAGAGCCAAAGACTTTAAAGACCAGTAAGGAGCTTGGGCAGGCGGGTGGGCCCTCCGGAGCATCGTACCGGAGTGGTATCCAGTGCTCCGGGCAGGCTCCGGTATGTCCATATCGGGCGTACTGCCTGCACCCCACCACTGGATTAGTCCTTTGCCCATCTAGCAGCAGGGCTCACTGCATTTCAAAATTTCCTAAGGACATTGCACCACCCAGCAAGGTTCAACCAAACCTATCTCAGACAACCTCAGCTATGACCCCTGCATAGCCCCATGGGAGTCTGGCAGCAACCAATAAAATACATATTGCTGCACAGGAACAGAAAGCTCAAGTTCAAAGTCCAAGAGAAGGTTTAAATGCCTCTCACTCTCCATTCTGTGTGTTGAGCTGCCCAGGGCTTCAAACCTATGTGGTCCTGTACCTCAATAAACCATCTTTCCAATCAGCCTCTATGTTTCCAGTGTCTTTCTCCCCATTTGGAACTGAACCAGATGGATATTTCTTCCAACAATTGAGACCTTTATTTATTTATTTACTTCACAGCAGGGGTGGGTTCCAGCCAGCTTTACTGCTGGTTTGCTCGTGCGTGCATTGTGCGCACATGCGCAGTTCAATTAAAATTGTTCTGTGCATATGCAGAACTAAAAAAAATGACGGTGGCGGTGATGGCAGTGACCGGAGAATCAGTTCAGGGGTGTAGCAGGCCTGGGTCGCTGCCGGTTCCAAAGGCCCAGACAGCCATACCACTACTGAAGGGGTAGGAACCCATCTCTGCTTCACAGGTGTCAAACGTGTGATGTCACAATCCTGTCACGTGATGTATTGTGACATTTT